GGGGGGGGGGCGAGGGAGAAAAAGAGGGAGAAAAAGGAAAATCGAGTTGCTCCGCCTCGCCCCACAGCGCTGGAGTTTTACGCGCGGAAAGCTCCAGCATCCAGTCGCTCTACCCGGCAATAAAAGAGGGAAAATGGGTTTGCTTTTGAAAACCACTATTGTTTCAAATCCCGAGACTAAACAATTGGTCATTCTGCTCTGGAGGGGGAAGGCCGGAGCTGTAAACCGATAAAGAGCTTCCCAAGCCCAGACGTCTCGCCAGAACTTCGAGTGTGTGAGCGTGGGGGTGCCTCTGTGTGTGCGTGTGTGTGTGTGTGTGTGTTGTTGTTGTGTGCATGGCTCAGCATTCTGGCAGCCTGGAATTGCTTTAAAGGAAAAAGAAACAACAACAAAAAAAAAAGAAACAAAAAAAAAAAGGAGGAAAAAAAAAAAGAACAAAGGGAATCATCCAGAGCGCTGGATTTTCACGGCATCTGCAAGAGAAGAATAAATTAGCAAAAGGCCCTCCCCACCTTTTCTCTCCCTCTCTCCCCCCCCCCCCCCCCCTTTTTTTTTTTCTCCCCCCCCCCCCTGGCGGGGGGGGAAAGAAAAAAAAAAAAAAGAGGGGAACTTTGTATGTGACTGAAGCAGAAACAAGAGCATTTACACGTTGGGTTTCCCCACATTCCCAAGTCGTTGTAGTAATTTAGGAGTTCCTGAAAGTTTTCTTGCTCTGTTTGCTTTACAGCCGTTTAGTTCCTTAACCTTCAGAAATTTATACCCTATAAAGTTTTATAGCGGTCATATTCTTTTATTGCAGCACACTGCACTGAATTTTCCTTTTTTTTTTATGACAAGTTACTTCCCTTTCTCTCTCTTCCCTCAGTAAGCTCCAAATATCTTTCTTCTTCTTTTGTTTTCTTTTCAGAGCTGCCCCAAAGAAAGGATTTTTTTAAGAAGTGAAATATTGCCCTTTAGAGCGCCCATTATGTTAAAAATTAGTGGAAAGAGCTTCTTGGTTATATTTCTCGCTACCTGCTTCCTGCAGGGCTGAGCAGGTCTTAGGGTTTGTTTGTTTTTTAAATATAGAGATAGAAACACTTTCCAAGCGCTTGTATTTCTTCATGAGCAATAAAATGTCAAACGAATTTAGAGACGGAATTATAGGAACCGCTCATTGAGCCCTTGGAAAAAGGAACCGCGTGTCAAATCCGAGGTGATGCCAAGCGGGGAAAGCGGGGTGGGGTTTCCCACTGTTTGTTTTGGGTTTCTAATTTTCCTTTAGCAACGTTTTCCTTGGGCGGCAGGGGAATAAACCAAAGAAAGTCAAATAAAGCCAGTCCACTCTGCGCCTTTGCTTCTGGTCCCCTAAGGCTGGTGCGGGAATGTGAAGATTAAACCCTCAAAACCAAACAGACTAACGAGCAACCACCGGTAAATGTAACCCGAGATTAACGATCTCCAATTTAAAAAAATAAAATAATTTTTTAAAAATTTAGAAACGCAGCAAGTTTGCGTGGGACCAAGTAAGCACTTGCTACACCGGGGAGGAATTACTTCCATCTGTCTCTGGACTTCTTTTTTTTCGCCTAAGCAAAAATTGATTCTTATAACACACTTAACGAGCCACTAAAGAACGCAGGAAAACGCAATGAAAATATTTCTGAAGTTTTAGATGAAGCAGTACAACACAATGACATATAGGTGCTGTTGTTCTAAAATCGATTTTTATTCTGGAGCATTAAACATCTCTGGAAAATACATCCGGGCTGATGCTACAGAAGACAGTTTCCCCAACATTTTTAAAGTAAGCATATTTCCTAATAAAAATGAACTAACATTTTAAATTCTATTTAAAAAGAACCTTATATTGTCGTCTTAAAAATATCCGCTCTTTACCACAATTCTAAGGAAAGGGAAAAACGTTTCTAAATCCTAGTGGCCGATGGGTCGCAAACGTCAATTAAGTCACGGATACGCTTCTGAAAAATATAGTAATGAGGATTTAGGCAAGTCCATACTCAGTTCGAGATACGAGGAATATATCAATTCAGCACGAAGCAGATTTGAAATTCATCCATCCTTGAGAAGAATCAAAACAAAACTGAAGAATTTGACTGCCCAGCTTAAACACAGCTAAATCACCTTTTCAACCCACTACCTTTTTTTTAATTATTATTTTAATAAATCCGGATTTAGAGAAGTGATCCTGCTGCCACCGACTTTTTTTCCCCAGCTCAAAATGTCTCCGAAACTGCTTTTCTTAATTGAGTTTCGAGGAAGGAGATTAGGGGCTTTGACACAGGGTGAAGTTTGGTTACATTTAACTCCCTCCGGCAACAGAACAGTTAAATTGTGAAGCCCCCAAGGAGCTACTTCATGACGGAAAGTTTTACATGAGAAAGTCTAGGCATTAAGAGTAAAAAAAAAAGCCAACAACCCAGCTTTCTGAGGAATGGTCTTAAACACTTAAGGTCTGGTTTCTGGTCGAGTGGGAGATTATTTCTTTTTTTTTTACCCCTTGCAAGAGGAATTGAAGTGGTGGAAATTTCAGTGCACCGAGGCGCAGCTACTTGATTCTTATCTCTGGATCATTTGGGGCGGGGGGGTGAGGGGGGGAGCAGGAACACTTTCCAAAACCCAGCTTTCTGAGGAATGGTCTTAAACACTTAAGGTCTGGTTTCTGGTCGAGTGGGAGATTATTTCTTTTTTTTTTACCCCTTGCAAGAGGAATTGAAGTGGTGGAAATTTCAGTGCACCGAGGCGCAGCTACTTGATTCTTATCTCTGGATCATTTGGGGCGGGGGGGTGAGGGGGGGAGCAGGAACACTTTCCAAAAACGCAAATCTGCCTATCGCTTCTTCCCAGAGCAACCTCTGTGCAGCAGATAAAAGTGGTCTCACAAAACCCAGCTCTAAGGATATACAAGTTAGTCGCTTCTGAAATCAGATTTGCACCGGTTCCTTTAGATGCACAGCAGAAATAAATGTCTTTTCTCTATTTTTTTCCCCCCACCCTATTAAAACAAGCCACCTTGCACTCGCCTCGTTCCTAGAAAGTCCCCTGGCAGCTAAATATACAAATTTGCACACGAAGAAAACGAGAGAGGTTTATTTCGATATTTTCCATCCACTATCAACTGCAGAACTCTTCGCATACTTAAAAAGCCACAGTAGAAACAGAAAACGAG